CCCCCCCCCCCCCCCGCCCCCTCCCCGCCCCGCCCCGGCAAGCCCACCAAACTATTGTGGACAAGTTCTACAAGAGCACGGTATAACCGCAGAATCAGTAGAGGCTGGAAACCAACCATTTCTCTCGGTTTACACCGCTCTCGTTTTTCGTATACTGCCGCTGCCTGAGAAGGTCCTCGTCTTTTCTTCTTCAGCCTCGTGGGTTAAGCTTGCGAGCACTCGACACCCGCCGCGGAACCTCCAAGAGTGAGCGGAGGTTACCTACAATCTAAATGACAACAGTCGAGGTGTCCGCGGGACTTTCTTGCTTGCTCCATCTCTACCCCCGACCCCCTCCCCCACTCAGTCCCGTTCGCCCGAGTCCCGATTGCCCGATTTTCGGCAAAATTCTGCGCGCCCCCCCGCGACGGACTGCGAACATGCATCACATGCACGAGTCCTCTCACTCTTTCCTGGCCCTTTTAAAAAAGAAAAGAAAATCTAGTCGTCTATGCTATGTCATGTCTATTTCCGGAAGAGAAGTGAGCGTTTGATTCCACTTACTTTGTCATTTGTTCTCGGCGACAACGAAGCCTTGAAGCGTCTACCAAATCACGCGAAAAAAACATCAGCTAGTACACGGCACGGGCAAACCTGCCAAACAACCCCCGCCATTACAGAATCTCAAAGATATTTTGAAGGCGATTCAACTTCGAGGTGCATGCCGTGTTTCCCTCCGCACCTGTATAACCAACGTGTAACAAAATCACGAAAATGTGTATCTCAATAGTGTCGGCGCGACATTTTTCCTAGTACGTGGTCAACTATATTATTCCACAGAGTGGCTCTGGGGGGTCAGTCGGTGCACATCAACCCGGGCACCGCCCACCCCGCCGCACGCGAGCAGCTACAACAACTCCAAAGCGGTACGAAGTACCGTTACACGAGAGAGTAGGTCAACACCGCCGTGCCCAGTCTCACAAACCTCCTCATCCCGCCACCACCTGTGAAGGCGCTCCCTGCCCCCCTCTTTCCCCTTGAAGTACCACGCTCGTAGCAGCTGCGCCAGTACGCGCCTCCTGCCCCTGGGCGCCAGCAGCCGGAGGGGCAGCGCCAGCGCATAGCGCATGACAACACAATCTCATCATGGGTCGCCGCGAACGCACTGCACGAAGCGGGCGACGCTGTTGGGGAACTCTCGTCGCCCAGGGAGGGACCGGAGCCTGTGGTGGGTCGCCTCGATCAGCTCGTCGTGCTCCAGACGGCCGTCGGCCCCGCTGTCGAACATCTTGAACACCAGCCACACGCACTCCGGGCTGAGCTCCTTTCCGGAGATCACTTTCGCGGCGCGCGCGAAGTCCGTCTGTACGGTGTTGTGACGAAATTTCATTTTGACGGGGGGGGAGGGGAGGGGGCAGAGATCATAAAACAGATCGAACAATCACTCTTTTGAGTTGTCGCTAGATAATGTGCGTGATGAGTAACTAGATTTTGTTTTTCCCGTAGCAACTCTTTCGGCAAGTACAGCAGAAGCAGAATAAACCGATGGAACTACTCTTCAAGAGAACACTAAAAGAAACGGTGCCTCCTCCTTTGCAAATTCGGAAGGATGACGAGAACAAAACTGGCAACCGCGTCCGGAGCGCGCAAAAAGCGGGAGAGGCCCATTCCACGATCTGGAACAGGAAGGTACCTCCCTCCCCCCCCCCCCCCCCCCCCCCCCCCCCCCCCCCCCCCCCCCNAGACTTGTGAGCGTGCTCCGCAGTATAGAGAGCAACACCAACAATAGAGGCGGGATCCTTCCGCAAAAGCCTGCTCCTTCCTCTACATCATTGGTTGTCTTCACACACAATTAAAGGTTCCGGCCTACGTTCAGTGCCACCTTCTAAACATACACGTACTTGAACCGGTCCAACTGACGCGGACGCCTTCCGTTACCACAGGCCAACTCACACTCAAAAAAACGCATTAACCGTACTACTGCTGGAGGTGACATCACACCCCCCGGACCGATTAGATTTTCAAAGCCCGGCTACTGCACAAAGAAAAAGGATGTCACAATCAAACAATCAAAAACGAGATGTTTTCGGGAAGGCTTTCGACGAGACAGTCTTACACTGCCGCACAGGTTTCCAACGCAACGCCTCCCGCCATTTTCGGGCACCGTCACCGGGCTTCCTACAGAGGTAATCGAGCTCTGAAAAGGGGGGGGGGGGGGGGGGGGGCGTATTCTTATATCTTGCATGCCTCAGCGGTTAGACCATTGACCACGCGTCCTCGAGAGGACGGAGCATTGTTCCCACAGGACATATCACCGATGGCCAATCGTTCCTTTCTACTTTGCCAAAGGTGGCTGCATCCATTGGTCCATGTAGGTAGTCCTTGAACCCTGTTCCTTCCTTCAACATTCCGTACACTTCTTGACCCTCCTTATCCCCGGTTTCTTGCTATAGATTCTGTTTTTCTCTCTCGGCACAAGCAACAGATATCTTCTCCTTGAACCCCTGTAGACCCTCCGTTTCCAGCGTTTCATCTTCGTCGATGTCGAACCCCTTCCATACGTCCTCTGCAACCTTGACCCATTCCGTGGGTTGTCTACCCCTCTTTATGTTTGCCCACTTCGCCTCCCATACAATTCTCGGCAACCTCTCCTCTCCCATCCCGCACATGCGATACTGCCAGGTCAGCTTCCTCGCGTCTCTTCCCGACCGTAGGGATTGGATCCCCAATTCTGCCCTCACGGCTGCATTACTTGTGCGCTTGGAGCATCCTAGGATGATTTTCGCTGCTTTCATCTGCGCCGCCTCGAGTTCTTTCACTACCTTCTCATTTCCTTCCCATACTTCTCCGGCGTACCCTAGAGGCGGTACGATTACGCTCTTCAAAACCGTCAATTTGATGTCTGTATCGAGGT